GTGGCATGCCGGAGGCCCGCAGGCCTTACCCTGAGTGAACGTGCACAGAGGCACGCGCCCTGAGTGGTCCATACGTGCAGTACTCGAACACAGGCAAAGCTGACTGTTGAAGCTGGACGGCAGGCTTATGGTTGTTCTTGGGGTGTGAGCAATGGGAAGTGGAAGTCTGGGGGCTTTCCAGGGATCCTGTTGCTTCCTCTAGATGCCCAAGTCTCAAGTAGGGAAAACGCATCAAGCTTGCACTTGGATCACGCTCACCTTTATGCTATAGATCAGTTTATAAAATGACGCCCAGAATAAGAACAGCACTTTCCGTACCTTACTAGACACACGGTTCTAGGCATACAGCGAGACTAGGCCTGCTCAAGAGGATAGCCTGCTCCAGGCCCCTGACGAGGCCAGCTTGGAGCTCCGGCTTTAATAGGTTGCACAGCTCAGTTTCCCTACCAGCCCTAGGCAGAGCACACAGAAGATGTCGGGACTCTCCCCAGTCCAGGACACTTGGAGTGTCTTTTATGGTGTCACCTGTGTAGTGGTAGTAACAATGCTGTTCTCTAGTGGCCTTTTAACCGGTGTGACCCTCCCCACCCCCACAGAACAGCGCTGAGGCTGCTGCATCTCTTTTCACGTGCTTGGGTGGAGGAAGCGAGGCTAGGAAAGGTTAGGGGGCCACTGGGGGCTGCCTGCAGCTGGGCCAGTACAGGCTGGGAGCCAGATTGAGGGCATCCGAGTCCCAATCCTGTCTCTTTCCCACTGAGCTACTCTGCCTCGCTTTTAATTTAATTAGGAGAACATTTAATCCCCCGTGCATTTCAGTCGGGTTTGAGCCTGGCTGGGGCTGCGTGGGGCTCTGACAGGGATCCTGTGACTCATGCAGCCTTGCACAGCCCTCCCGGGAGGGTTCCCATGGGGCTTCCTTGGCACCTTGGAGGTGGTCTGGAGCTTCACAGAAGACACCAGTCTGGAAAGACAAACTGGCCTCATCTGTTCTTGGCAAGCCCCTTCCCCACCCCTGGACACTGTACCCGACATGGCCTTTCTGAACTTTCCCACCAACATTTGCAGGTTGAAAATCCAAGTAAGAGGCCTGTGTGCTCACTGAGGTACTACAGCAGGCATGTCTCCAAAATGCCCCAGGCAAAGCTGGTCCATCGAAAATGCTAGTCCCCAGGCCATAGAACCGAGTTCAGGGGCCAGCCTTTTTCCAGCAGGCACAGGCTGGCCCCAGCCTCGCTGACAGACGCAGAATTCAGGGGCCATTAGGAGTGATGTGGATGAGAGCCAGGCCACAGCGGGCCTCCCTGGAAAAGAGAAACTCGACCGTCTTGGCGTGAGATTCTGCAGGGTCCAGGAGAAAGTTGAAGACATGGAAATTCTAATTAACGCACACAGGGCTGGTTTTGCTCAAGGATTTTCGGCGCTGTCATGTCGTAAGAGGCCCAGCAAGCACATGCTCGCCAGGGAGGTACTTGTGGGCACCTGGTGGGGTCCCTGCAAGGCCCTAGCCTGCGTTTTCACTCTTCTGTCCTGCTATCTCAGGGTTCCTGGCCCTCTCTCCATCTTGGTGGACAGGGTGGCCCCGCATGTCCCTCCACTGAGTGAGACAATAGGCTGGTTAGTAAATACAAGTTGAGGCTTGCCAATCTAAGACGTCACAACAGAAAAGACAGTGGGGTCAGGGATAAACTCATTTAGACAGACCCTTCAGGGAACCTGCATGGCAGGGCCGGGCTGAGTTACAGGCTACCAGGCTCATGATGGGTTTGCTTTTGGGGAGACTCAGTCCTTATGTAACTAATGGGGCAAAGGTGTGGGTTGAAGACCAGTCCTGGTGGGTTCATCAGTGGGACGGTGGAAGTGAAAGAGGACTTCACAGAATGGTGGTGAGAAAAGCCAGCGGAGGCCATACCTAGGTACGGCTCCTGATCTTTGAGCTGTAGACGCTCAAGTCCTGGGCCCTAGGTCTCAGCACCCACGGAGGCACCTGCAGACCTGACTTCATCTCAGGCAAGGCTGAGGAGGTGCTTTCTACATCAGGGTAGGAGTGACAGTCTTAAAGTTCTGTCACCCTGGAATTTGGGGAGTACGGGGAAAGGAACGGCCAGGAGGAGGCCACAGATATTCTGCTTCCTCACAGCCCAAGCTAAGAGTTCAAAGAACTGGTCTCAAGAGGATTTGGGGACATACTGGAGGTAGGGACAGCTGAGCAGATTCTGATGGCTACAGATGAGGTCAAGGACATTCCAGATGCTGCAGAAGGCAATGGTGGCAGTATCAGTGGGCAGAAGACAGTAGGTGGGGCAGGATCCTGGGGCCTCACCCTAGCTGTTCCTGGGTGTAAGGCTATCCTTCCCCTTATGGCAGTCCCCCACTTATCCACAAAGGTCTCCAGTTTGTATTGCAAACTTGCTCCTCAAAAGCTTAGGGTAAGGCTTTAGTTAGAGGACTCAGGTTGAGGGACCTTGACACATACGGAGCTCCTTTCCAACCACATCTCCCAACGTGTGCCTGAAATGTGTGCACAAGATAGAGGCCCACCCGCCCAGAGCTTGAAGAGGCCCTGGGGCTATATGGGGGTTGGTGGGGTGCCTGTTGTGCTAGGGCCAGTGAAGCTGCCTTGTCTCCCTAGCACCTTTCCCTATTCACCAGCAACTCCACTAGGCCTGCGCCCTGGCCCCTCTCCCCGCAAACTGCCAATCCAACAAGCCCTGTAAAGAACTTCACCCAGCTCCAGGGACCTTCCTGTGATCAAGGCTATAGTGACCTCACCTCCCTGGGGCCTTGTGGGTGGGGAGAGCTTGAGATAGAAAGAGAATGTGTCTTTATTTATGCTTTTAATTTGGATCCTGGAACTGACCCAGCATGGTAAGACATTTAACATCAGTAAAATACTGAAGAAAAATGAATCTGTTTTTCAGCAACTGCCTCCCACCCACTGTCCCCTGCAAGACCCCAGTGTGCATCCCTGTCCCGTGGAGGCGCGCACCAGGGTCTGTGCCTCTCTTTTTTGGTACAGGTTCATGGGGCCAGTTGCCCATAGGAGCCATGCTGTATCCCTGGGCTGCTGGAGCCCAGCTTAATTACAGGCATCAATCAATAGGCTGTGGTTCAGGAAGCAAAGGAATGCAGGCCTGGTGAGGGCCTGGCTTCCTAGCTTCAGAGACCATTGGGGCCCTACAGAGTACCCACCATGCCTATTCACTTCCTCAGGATGGGAAGGGGGTCTTGGTCAGGTCAGTAGTCCTGAGAGTGCTTAGGGTTCTAGAACCCAGACATTACTGTGCATGTGCTAGCCTTCCTTGCCAGGACTTCCTGCGAAGGTGGCAGTGGACTCCTGAGGAGGTAGGTATCCAGATTTCTTTGATGCCTCAACCTCAGCCTTCAGCCCTTTGCTGAAGCCTTGTGCTCGTTCCCAGTTCCCACCTCAGATCTTTCACTCAACACCACCTTGGGCTCCTTCCTTCCCACTTTTCCACGGTGGCTCACATCTAGCTGCACCATTTGGAAGAGCTTGCTCTAGAAAGGGTTTTGGTGGATTTCTGGAGGAATACCTGATTGGATAGGGATTGGGTGCTTGCAGGCTGAGCTGTGGGCCACATGTGTGCCCAGTTGCTTTTGACTCTCCCCTGAGAATCCTGCTGATGCTTCGCTGCAGGAGCCTTGGAAAGGCCAGGAGTCAGAGAGACTTCTTTGTCCATCAGGATGGATGGTTGATCATAGCCCTGCCGTCCCATGATGCAACTGCCTATCTGTCTGGAGACTGGAGACTGTTCCATGGACATAAGAATAAAGAAAGAATGGACACCAACAAGAACTGGCCAGGAGGCTAAGAAGGCTGAGTGACCAGTGGAGCCTCTGCTCCCACCTGCTACTGTAGCAAGGCTGTCAGGCTGTTCAGGAGACAGAGCAGCCCCTGCTTCTCAGTAAACTGCTGGCTCCCTCTGAGCCCATGAAACACTGTCCACATCCTCCCGTGAGCTTGAGCGGCCTGGGAAGCTAGTGGGTGTGGCTTGTTTGGTCATAACCATCCCTTCTGACAAGGCTGTCTTTCCTTGGGGCTGGCCTCATTTTGGCTCTCTGGTCACATGAGCAGCCCATAGCACTATGGATCCCAGTCATGGGTAAAGCAAAGCTTGCAGCAGGCAGACAGCAAAGACGAGGCGTCTAGGTGTAGGCTGAGGCTTTACGACCAGTGCACATGGCTGAGGCCATGCAGCACAGTAGAACGGAGGACGGAGTCCCAGCATACTGATGCCCGAGAGGGCTGTGAGTGTGGCACTAACATCCTGACACAGATGTTTCTCAAGGGGAATCCCCGGTGGGGTAGTGGCCAAAAGGGGTCTAAGTGCTTTACTGACTTCCACCGCATGGCTTCCTCTACTAGGCGCTTTGGCAGGAATACTGAGTCACATGGGTCACAGAGAAGTCACACCATGGCTGGACACCAGGGATTGGCCTGGTGATGCTGTGATGGGGGCCTGGGAGTGAGGGGAGGATAGGCATGTGTCCCAGACCAGCTGTGCCTCAGGGGAAGGCCAGCTAGAAAGCGTGGAAAATCAGCCATTTCCTCCACCTGAAGGAGCCCCCGAGGACAGTAGCGGCAACTGGCAGACAGCACCCGGCATCTGCCCCATGGCTTTGGCCAATGTTCCACAGGGAAATACTAAAGAACAAAGCTGGCTCTTTTGGGGGAGTGGTGGAGGGGCAAGGGGAGAGAAAACAGTTTTCTCAGACGCTCAAAGCATGAAAACAAGTGGAAAACGATCAGTCTGGTTTTCCATAAGTCAAAACAAGCGGATCATGTTTCTACACTTGGTGGGAAAGCCCTGCTCTCTCCTCCCGCATGGCCTGGCAGCCAGTGGCCCCAGGTTCTCCAGGGTGGGCGGGGAGGTCTGGACACTGGGTGAACAGCCTGCACCCTGTGCACTGCCCTGTGCCAAGGCAGTTCCTTCGAGCCCCAAACCCTTCTAAGCCCAGTCTCTGGGCAGGTGGACACTCACTGTGACACATGGGTAATGGGCGTCAGCAGCATCTCCCCTTCTAGGTCCAAGTCCTCAGCAAAGCTGTTTGTTCTCAAGAAGTGGGGTGTGCTCACTTCCAGCAGCGTGGGGCTCTTCTTCGCTGTGGAAAAGGTGTGGGGACAGCTCATTAGGTTTTATTGGTGACTTGATAATGAAGGGGCCCCAGAGCTGGGCAGAACTAGGCTCCAATGCACACCGCAATCTGCCACTGCTATAGAATAGACCTATGAGCTCCCAGGGCCAGGGGAGGGATGGAGATGGTGCCTGAAAATTTCAGCCTCGTCCATCAGGGGTGGACTAGAGTAGGCGGGTGGGTCTTCGACCTTTATCGTTCATTCTGGGACCTCGAGGTCCCAGGTACCTGGAGACCATTCTGAAGACCCCCCCGCCAACACACAGACAAAACAGTGGTTCCGCAAATATAGGGTGGTAGGACCCCTGCCCCAGAAGCCACAGGCCTGTTTCCTTACTCTACCCGTGATGTGATGCTATCTATGTTAACCACTGTAGAACGATTGAGCACTCTAAGTACAATAATGCAGAAATTCACAGTGCTCTTCCTGTGAAGGTGTTAGCTCTGGCTAGACCCTTGGCTCCTGCCCACTCTGCTCATTCCAGTAGCACAGAGTTGCTTTTATACGCAGAACAGCTCTGCTCTGCTCACTTTTTCCTGTTCTACAAATGATTATCTCCTTTTTCTCCAGGTGTGCAGTGATGGAGCTAATGATTATTTTAGCTGCATAACAACCCATAGTGTAGATCTACCACAGTTAATTTACATGTCCTATTTTATGAACATTCAGTCAGTGTTTTTTTAATTGACTTTTTTGTATTTCATATAGAAAATCATCTTTATTCCCCCTTCTGCCATTTGTGTTACAGCCTATTATGTAAAGTTAGTGTCCCCAGATGTCCCTCAGTACAGTTTCATTCACTGAGATCTAGTTAGCCTATCTAGAGTTCCTCCCTTTAAGATCAGTTCTTCCTTACCTAACAGTAATCAGCTACCAGTAATTCTTCAGCTAAGACTGGGGCCTGCTGTCCATTTCCACAGTTCTGTGCTGGGTTTTTGTCTGCTTGAGTTTGCATGGGTCTTGTGCGTGCTGACACCACTGCTGTAGGTTTATATGAGAAGGGTCCCAGGTGCCTGTAGGACTATTTCCCTATGGTCATGGCACCTCCTCCCCGGCTCTTACAGTCTTTCCACTCCCTCTTCCGCAGTGGTCCCTGAGCCCTGAGTGGGTGGATTTTAATATAGGAGTCCTCTCCAAAGACCGACACTCTGCAGACTCTTTGTGTCTTGGCCATTTGTGACCTTTTGCGTGAGGGAGCTTCACTGATGAGAACTGAAAGATCGTTAGTGCTCTCTTCATCCCTCGTTCTGTGTTCTGTGAGCCTTAGGTGTAGAGGTTGCGTCCTGGGATGTGCCACTTAGGCTTGGGTAATTCACAGAGAATTTCAATGTGTGACAAATTGTGGAACTCTTTAATTATCTCTGTCTCTTGAAAAAGAAGCTTCTTTGATGGGTGGTGACTGGCATACTTGTCTGTAAATTTAAGGATCCATAGTCTGCAGATAGTTAGGGATGTGACAGCCTTGGGGTTTTCTCTAAAATCTATGGCCTCTCCAGCTGTGTGTATTTTACTAGGTTTACAGTATCAGGCATGAGTTTCCTCCCATTGAGTGGGCTTTAAGTCCAATTAGGTAGCTGTTGATTAACCCCAAGACAAGTTGCTTAGTTTTAAGTCAGTCAGTCAATGATGTAATGGGTCAGGTGAGATGGTTCGTCTTTGGTAATATTTCTGAATTCTTTCTCAGTAAAGTTATAGCAACTAACACCTTTCTTCCAACTTTCCCACATCTACACCTAAACAGACACAGGTGAAAACAGGTTTTCTTTCTTTTTTAAAAAATATTTTTATGGGGCTGGAGAGATGGCTCAGCGGTTAAGAGCACTGACTGCTCTTGTAGAGGACCTGGGTTCAATTCTCAGCACCCACATGGCAGCTATGAACTGTCCTTAACTCGAGTTCCAGGGGAATCCGAAGCCCTTTTCTGACCTCTGTGACATCACATGACACAGGTGCACTCACATACATGCAGACAATACACTCATACACATA